TTCGCCCATAATTAGGCAAGTACGAGCGGCGCCGAGAACAAAGCGACACGGATCCCGATGTGATGCACGACCGAAGGATACATGTAGTTATCGAGACACACGCTCGCGGAGAATATTAAATGCCAGTTTATACGCCGTAAATAATGACAAAATACGTGCCTATAAAACCGGAACGATCTCTTCAGACTCGCGCAAATTGCAAGAGTCGCGACGATCGTATAATAATCGTCTCAACGGCGTGTGAACCCGAATATAAACGTGATCTCATTCATATAGCGATCTCGCGACTATGCGCAAAGAGAAGACTTTGACACACCGGATACATCGAGTCTCGAGACGCACACATTTCATCTCGATCAATTCGAGATATAATTATCGACGATATTGCCACGAATTGATAATTATATCTCTCGTTGCATCAAGATTTTGCGCGCAATAGATAAGATTACGTATCAGGTGTATGAAATATGACTATGATAGTCGCTATTAAATAATCATGCACTGCAGACTCGACGATGTACAAGCACGCGCATTTCCGCGGAGGAGAGACGCAAAGCGCTCGCGGGGCATAAACGCGCGCAATCTCGTTGCGATTCTCGTGACTAATCTCCATCTGATAGATCGCGGCGGACTTTAATGTCCGCGACACGTATCGAATCGGTGTTCCTCGCACGGCGGACAGTAAAATGGCCCCCGCGAGCCACCGTCGAAGCTTACACGCACGCAGACACGACGCCTCGGGACACGCGATGCCGCGGTAATGAACGGACATGCGTGTGTGCGTGCACGCGACGCACGCAACGAGCCGCGAAGCGACGATCTAATATCCTGGCCGCGATACTATTCCGTCGATGTATGCGTCATGTATTGCGGCCCGCGGACCATCACGTGTCCTATTTGCATGCCGCGTGAATACGCGTATGTACTATGCGCGTAAAACCGTGTACAAGAGACGCGCGCGCCTTCCTTTATTCGGGCGTGTGATTATTATTTTTTTAGCAAATAGTTGAAGTTTACGTGGATGATTGTCGCAGCTATATCGTAAACACTTAGAGAGAAAGAATGTAGATATGATTACGTTCTAGATATGATTTAAGAACGTCGTCCGCTCTTATGCAACGTAAATATCGCGAGGCAAAAATTGTGGAAAAGCAAGCAAGAATGGGAACAGCGCTATCACGGATAAGCTGCATCCCATATCGGTCTATCGTTGAATGTCAACTAACGAACACCACTATAGCTACACGTATCCATTACTAAACAAATCACGAGCGCCGCTCGACCGTGCTTCTGTAAGCTCCGCCGCTGGGCGCTGGATAATTAAAGCTGCGAGGCACATTTGATCGAGTTTCGGTCGCTCTCCGTCCGACAGACCGATTGTTCTCCATTTTAATTTTTTTCGGAAAATTGGAAAAGGAATCCTTCCTCGATGTTTTTTTCCCGCGCGCGCACGCGCAGATATGAATGCCCCTGTGCATGCGCTACTATCGGGCGAAAATTGGAAATTGATTTCGAACGGAATTCCGAGCGATATGTCGAGCACGTATCGAGCGATACCGAAATTTCGCGCCTACGAAATAGTTTCTCGGCTGTATCTTCGCCGAACAATTCGTCGGAATATCATTGCAGTGGATGTGGGTCGCGCCGGGTACTAGACAAAAAAGGAAAGTAAAATGTGAAAGATGCCGTAGATTATTATTTCGTTGGCGTCTCTCGATCGAGCCAAATTAATTTTGAATAGGAAAGTTTAATGGTCATCATTTGTGAACAAGAACGTCCATTTTTGAATATATAAGAAACATCAGATTTGATAAGTATATACGCGGATGCTTTATAAAGCTATCGCTTCGATAGGTAATTAATTCGCTTGTAAATAATTTTTTGACGAAATGTAAGTAACATACAAATTCAAAAATTTTAGAACAATAAATCGTTATATCATCTGACATAATCTCTTATTCGATACAGCTGGAATTTATTTTCTTATTTTATCGAAAGACTGCGTGAACGAAGCAAGAAGACGTTTTCGCGAAGTTTCGATGAGTAAAACGATGATCTTTAGCAATGTGAAAGAAGGTCGCTCGTGATTCTAGTATTTCCAGTATTTCGGATGCCCCGCGGCGAGGCGGTTCGATTACCAAATTGAACTATTTTATTAGTGGCGAGCCATAATGACGATAACATTGAGTCAACCACGAAAAAAAAGAAATGATCACACCAACAATTAATAAACAGTATAAAGTTGCTACCGGATTGCGCCCAAGGCTAGTTAAAAGGTTGAAAATATATGTAATATTTAATATGTAAACGATATATAATATGTAAACGACATACGATGATAAAGACGGGGATGATGCATATGTGACAATATATACATATAATGTGTCATATATTTACATAATATCCGTGTTGAAAGAGAGAGAGAGAGAGATTATTTTAACGCAAATAAATTCAATTTTTTTCCGCTGTATTTTTTATATTTTCGTTAATTAATAATGAAATATGTGTGACGTATCATACGTGAAGTATATCTCGCGTATATTTCGGCTTACACTTAAGATCGGATCCGCCCTGCGCTTTCATCCTGTCAAACATTCCCACGCCTAATGCTTACTAGCGTCTGAGGAAGCGCACGCGGTGTCACTTTAAAACGGGAGCAACGAGGTTCTTTCAGCCGCTGTTGTCGCCACGGCGGGATGTCTCTCGTGGCGTACCGTCGGTGTCCTGTTTGCGGTCCTTGACGGCCTTTCACCGATATTTACTCGCGGGCCTAGGCCCTCCGCCCTCGAAGACATCCCGAAGGGCCGTGACTCGGCAGTGTCTCGTTTTTGTTTGCCACGCCGGGATTTCCCGACAAAGGGCCCGGTGCGTCGTCATCTCTCCTCCCCGATCTCCTCTCCGCTACCCCCAAGACGCCGGGATTAGACTCGAGAGGATTCCGAGGTGTTTGCGCTAATTTTTTTTGCTTTTCCCTCTTAGACCTTTGCCTTCGCTAAGTAGGCTAACCAGAAGAGGGTTAAATCTTGGCGAAAATTAAGATTAAACTTGAAGTCAAATCTCGAGAGATGAATCTATAAACTCAATTCATAACAACGCAGCTAATGGCCTAATGGATTCGCCGTGAGTTGAAAAAAGTCGAAACCTTGTTTACTAAATTTGATTATTATTATTATATAATCTTTAATTGTTAACTCTTTAAAAACGATAATATAATGTGTCGATCTTAATATACATTCAAATTTATAAGTTACCTGTAATTTTTACGTTACTCTTATACATGTTTATTTTTTCAATTTCCACACACGATCAAAAGAAAAATGAACATATCTACGTTTCACATTCTACGTCAATAAATCATATACTCTCGTTTCTCAATAAGTGTGTAGTACTTCACCGTATCCATATGAGATCGCTTTTATAGACTCGCTTTTGAGGTAGCGTGAAAAAACGCATAATCTTTCAAAGAACCCTCTCCCGGACCAGATCTTTCGTAAATCTGGAAAGGGTTGGGCCAGGTGAAAAGGGTCGTCGTCTATTAGCCGCGACACGAGAAAGGGGTGATTTTTCGGGGGGATTTTTTCGAGAGGCATTTTCTGGGCTCGTGCACAAACTGGATCCGATCTCTCGACATTACTCCGAAAAAGAGAGAGAGAAAAAGGGTCCTTAAAGACGGAAGAGACGCACGCCCGCTGCCCTGTCACACGATGTAGGTGAACCATGCATAATGTCGTGGCCACATTACTTTTCGACGACAATCTGCCCGCTGTTCTTTCTCGTTCTACCTAGCCTTCTCTTTCCTCTTCTCTCTCTCTCTCTTTCTCTCTCGATTTACCTCATACGTTTATTTCGCTCGCTCTCTCACGAGTACTCGTCCACTTTTATTTCTTCACCTGGCGCGTAGACGTGTTTACGCGAATGTTTACGAGAAAGAGATGGATAGATGTCGAGAGAGAGAAAGGAGATGAGAAGGGAAGAAACGGGAGGAGGAGGTAGGAGAGTGGTCTTAACAAAGGTCGGTCTGCCACGCACTGCGCGACAGCCAGCCATTGACATCGGTGGGCTCTGGGTAAGGAGGACTAGATTTCACGAGCCAGCGATGCAAGATCCTTCAAAGGGCGCCGACGGGTTGGCCGCAAAAAGGATTCGCAAAAAAGAAAAAGAACGAGGTAGGGAAAAAGAGACAGAGCCACCATGGCCGTAGAAAGGGGGAGGGGACAGGCGGGCTTCTTCTTTAGTTAATGCTGGCTTCCGCGCACCCTTGCGTCAGAGAAAGAAAAGATGAGAAAGAGAGAGGAAGGAGAAGGAGAGCGAAAGGGGTCGAGGGAACAAGCGGTCGAGGCTAATAGAGAAGAAGACGAATAAGAGGAACGCAAAGCGGGGAAAGGGGCGCGGACGGAGGGCGAAACTACTTGACGGCGAAATCCATCGCGATAACTTAATCCGGGGATTACGCTGCGGTTAAGGTATCCGCGCGGAAATCCGATCGCGCGCGCCTGACAGGATCCTTCAGGACCGTTGTAAAGAAACGCGACTGCTCCGTTTCCGGTTTCTCGCAAGTCCCGGCCTCTTTGCTAATGTACGATTAACGCGAGAATTATTAATCGCATGCAAAAAATGTATCTGTATATCGCAAAAATCCTTAAATCGTATACCATTCAAACATTGTTACATAGAAAAACATTAACTCTGACTTATTTTCACGTTAATTCTATGTAAAAATGTCATGTTTGATTTTTGAAAAAAATTTTAGCTGAAAGCTCAAGATGGATCTTCTTGATCTTATTTTATTTAGTTGATCGATCGTCATCGTCGTAAAAATCATCAATCGCAAAGAATGTCGCATGCATGCACATTCAATTACGACCGTTTCACATTTTGAATCGACCTGTTGTGTGCGAGCGTTCCAGGCAGATCCAAAAGTTAGCGATTAATTGCAAACCAGAGGAGCAAGCTTAAAGAATAGCTAGTAAGTAAGTAATTGTTTGGTTGGCGTTACGTACAGTACTTACAAAGCCGTGCTTGTCGCTGATGTTGTTGGTGAGCTTGAGTTTGTGGAAGCTCACGACCTTTTGCATCCACTGCTCGCCGCTGCTGGGCGAGTCCGGATGTATGTACATCCTCTTCGGCATTTCCGGATCCGCCTTACCCGCTACCATCCACCTACTGCTCGCAACACGCGTAAGAATGTATTAGAAAGTTTCCGGGTTCGTCACGTAACATGCCTCGGCAACGACAAAGATACGGTGTAGAAACGATCTTCGTCGTTACCTAGGATAAATCTGAAATCGAAACGCAGACCGTAAGAAAATAAAATCCAGCGAAGTGGACTGTAATTTATTTCAACGTCAATTTTTTTATTTTTGTCTCAAAAAGGAAGAGATTTGTGAAGAATATTTAATTTATGCGAAACCTTTCAATGCGCGAGAAAATAAAGATTGAATTATAATTCAATCCAATATAATTTATTAATTAATTTTTATTCGATTAATTTTATCTATCTAGACTTGATTCTAACACAAATCGGAAACGAGATAACGTACTTTTATTAATCAAATAAATTTTAATTTTCTCATAGCGAATATCGATAATCTTACGATATATCTTTTCATATAGATGACGAAATCTAGAATGAGCCAAAAGGAGAAACAGGGTGCTCCTCGTTAGTTCGAGTAGTTTTGCCTGCCGCGAGTATCAACCGGACGATTGTTGTCTCTTAAGGGAGGCGTGTCCGCTGTTCGTAGTCGTCGCAGGTGGGTCAAACTCGAACGCGAAGAACCGAAGGAAGAACTCGTTCGACGAGTTCTCTCCAAAGTGGCTGCGGTCGTCCGCGTGATGTAATCGTTCATTGTGGTCTGCGTTTCGATCGTCCGAACGTCGCGTCGAGGTATCCGGGATGCCTCGCAAGAATTTTCTCGAGGTGGAGAAGCGCCAATCGAATCCCCTCTGTCGGAACGCGAGTCGAGATCCGATGTCTGTCGCGAAAAAGTTGCGCGCGATCGTAAAATATGCGAAAGAAATACACGATTGTTTAGTTTTGTAGCTACTCAAATATTTGCGCTGGTCCAAATTCAAGAGAGACCTTCGACGAAAGTATTGAAAATAAAATCATGTCTGAATTTCAAACTATCACGCCGAAGCAATAATAATTAATTTCACGCACGAAGTGTATTTATAATTTTTATAAAATTATATTAAAATATATATATATGCTGTGGTGAAATTTTGAAAAATTACGGGGGTTACGAAATTTGCAAGGCATCTCGGTTAACTAATGTGAAGGCTTGCGATTCCCATACAAGTCGAAATAATTTCCCATGAGCCTTTCCCCTATGTGCCATTTCTGCGGGAAAATCAAATCATTATTTCTAAAAATATTACTCCATTCACGGCAGTATATAGAATGATTATTAATTAAGCATTTGCCAATTTATTTGCTAAGTATTGTACATAATTGATTATTCGCACGAGAGAACTGCACAGGAATTAGACGTTCAACTTATCACGCATGACGGGGTAGATTAATCGGATTTAACACACGATCGCGATAAAGGGTGCACAGGATTAGAGATAAATTATTTTCGACGAGTATGAGGAATTGTTCGCAGCGCACGCTCCACACTTATTTTAAGAGAGCTCTTCCTGGTGAAAATAGTTACTCGATCAAGATCGATCTCGGATCATTATTAAAAAAAAAAACAATTTCAATAAAAAAATATTTAGTGCTTAATCTCAAGTAGTCATTTTCCAATCTTTCAAATATTGAGATCGTATGTTTCATAGATCGAGAAAAAAATGATCCAGGATCGCTTCGATCGCGCAGGGTCAAAAATATCACCTGTTATGAAATTTATAACGGCATTCGTCCGATGCCACGATGTCCATTAGAAGTATGTAGCTAGCCTGCTTGTCTAACCCGAACACCCTCACTTTATACGCGGGAAACATGCGTCTGCGAACAATTTTGCGATCGCAAAAAAGACAAACACAGCATACATTAGTTCTATCGTTCACTGCTGAGCTTCTTTTATGTTCCCACGGACAAGGGGAACTGTGCATAAAACTCGTATCTTTGGATACGGTGCTTTTGGGCGGACAACCGATTTTAAAGATCTCGACAAGCGTCAAAACTTTTTCACATAGCTTAATATTGAAAAAATCACTATATATAAAAAGAATACTTTAATTAATATTAAATATAAAAACAATAAAATGTAAACAATAAATGTATTGGTATTATATTAAAAGAGACCATAATTCAAGAATCATTTTTAGAGTTCGAGAAACACTCGTATCTTGAGACCGTTAACAAGAGTTGTCCGCGATAATTATATTTTCACGAGTGCCTCCGCTTTTTCCTACATCACGCAAAACCTCTACCTGTTGTGGAACTTGTATCTGTAGTCATCGGCGGCGACAATGTCCAGGAGAAGGATGTACTTGGCCTTAGCATCCAGGCCGGAAACTCGGAACTTCATCTGAGGAAACATCTGCCTAGACCCCCGATCAACATGTACAGTTCGATTAGATTATTTGCTCGACTAATCGAGTTATCTTAAACTATCATGCAATTCATACAATCATCGCGTCTTATTTTAGATCATTTTGTATGTGCTCGTTTCATTTTAATAATTAAAAAAATGCATTATATCTCGCTTCTAATGTATAGTGCTGAAAATAATTTGTCATTCGTCATCTTTCTAAAAAAATTTTTTTTAAATGACGCTCTTTGATATTCTCGCCAATATTACAAGAGCTTCGCCGCCTTCTTCCCATCATCGCTTTCCTTTCACGATTCGGAGAGTTCTCACTCCTGAAATGTCTTCGAGAGACGTGCGCATTCCATGGAACGCGCGGCCGCGAAGTCACGTCGGCGACACCTGGTAGAATCCTGAAAGGTCGGAATAGAAACGTGCACGAGTCAATCCCGGCCGCTGTCAGACGGTGGCTTTCGAGGCGCGTTCTCTGGAATAAAAACCGGACCCCGGGCCAGAAACCGACGATGATGACGGCCGTGCTGCGCATCCCGGTAGAGGTAGTCGAGGTAGCGAACGCTCGGCGCGTTTGTCCGAAGGAATTATATCCAAGACGAAGAGAAGAGGTATATTGGTGCCGCGAGAGACCTGGAAAATCGTCGCTCGGAATCACGTTTTTCGGGCCAAACATGAGATCCGTGGTCGTGGTTGTACAGCTCGCTGGTTCTATAATGGAAAGTTACACGCGACCGTGTTTTTCTCGAGAAGACCCGAGATTCCACATGATGAGGGATCACGCTAAAGTTGTACTGTTCTGCACGTGCTAAAATACGCGTAGAAAAAATTCCAAACTTTTGCACCATAAAATATTACTTTAGAAAATTAAGAAAATAAATTTAACAGGTTTTGTCAAATATATGCAGGCCGATTAATGATTATATCTCACATGCATTAACATTTAATAAACTTGTAAAATATTATTAATTCGAGAATTTTGTTACCGAAAATAATTACCAATAATAATAATGATAAAATAGACGTTCATCAATTTACAATTTACGTTTCATCACACAATGATAATTATATTATATATTAGATATATACATATATATAATATTCCAATAATTTTTGTAAACATGCTATCCAAGTTTCATTGCGCTCTGAATGTAAAGTCCAAGATCTAAAAATTATATTATTGTATTCTCAAATTGATAACGCATTTTAAAGCGCGTGTAAGTAGTTTCTCACATTATGATGAAAAATTCTATTATTATAATTAGATATTGTAAACTCGTCAAATTTAAATCACATTAAGATAGATCGAGACATTATTATTATAGAAGATTAAAAATTTGTAGAAGATTAAAAATATATTCAAAGACATATCTGGATATATCTAGATTCTGTCAGACAGTCTTTACATAACGACAGCAGAAAGAAACATCTTTAAAAGAAGAAACTCTATTCTTTGTCTTTTTCTAGATTTAAAAACAATTCGTCTGTTCAAACTATAATCTGCTTTCAACAAATCACATTTTAAATTATAAAACGACAAAATAAGTAAATATTTTATAATATTAAATATTAAATATATTAATTTTATAATATTAATATTAAATATTAAAAAATAAAAACACTAACTATGCGAATTTTTTTAATAATAAAATAAAAAATAAATATCAAATATAACATAGAAATAAAAACTATTTTATATTAATTTATGCTTGTTATACATACGAAAATTAAAAAGCTACTCAAAAACGACTCTAGAAAATCCTATTATAAACTCTAAGAGCTGGATATCGATCGAAGGCAGCTCTTAAAAAGGATCGTTCGAACCGTTCGTTTCGTAAAACGTCAAAGGTATCGCGAAGAAAGGTAGCAAACGCACCGCAATGATTTCTCTAGTAGCATCTGCCTACTGTCTGTCCGTTGAGAGACACATCCCGTACCTCGTGGAATTTCAACGCGAGCGAGGAAGAGACAGGACCTTTCGGTTCGGCTCGATGGCGCATTCGATCGCGATAAACGAGACGCCGTTCTCATTCACGTCGTAGAGGACACTAAGCTGGATTATCCGCGCTATGTGAGCCAAAATATCCTGCGGGAGGACGCGCGCGGGGGAATCCTCTGACGAGCGTGACGCTGTCGGCGCTTCATCGCAAATTCTACAGGACGCGAATGGCGCTTTTTTTTTACTTTTTTATTTTAACGGCCACGTGTGATCAGTGGATTGCATAACGTATAAAAAAATTTGCTTCTATGTTTTTTTCTCGCCTATAATATATATATATATATATATATATATATATATATATATATATACATACATATATATTCTATTATTTTACTGCATTATTGTGCACAAAGAACGTAATAATATAAAATTAATAAAAGAAATGAATTCGTAATAGCAAAAAAATCATTGAAATATACATAATATTACATAATACATGAAGTGGACATTTACACTGTTCGATAATATAATTTAAGAACAATTAAGAAACATGAATGCGGATAGAACGCGCTGAAAATTTTCCAAGCTACGCGAACGTCACTGGCATTTAATTGATTCGCGCGCATTAAATTAATCGAATGACAGGTGTGTCGCTATCTGTATTTTCGATCGCCTAAAAATCAGCTCGTGTAAACAGCCATCTCGTCTCTAATGTATATTTATGCCTTCGGAATTAATTATCGCGGAGACGCATAAAGCGAGTTGACACACGATACTCCTTCGAGGAATCTGGATACAAATCTCCGAAATTATATTCACAAAGTAACGCCTGTGTATCTCATTTTGGACATCATAGAGGGGAGACAAAAAAAGAGAAAAATGGATGTGTTATCACTTTGAAATCATATACGGAATCTTTCCGGTTGCCTCGTGTATCATAGAAACGAGATGTCGTCGACTCCTCGTATCACGACGAAAACCTTTTTTCTCTTCCGTCGTATATAACTTCTCGCTAATGAGCGACAATACGAATAAACAAATTATGACTAGCCGTTGTCGCCGTACGGAGGCTGTCGAAGTTGTAAATCGTTCGATAAATGTCCCTTTGAGAACTCCCGCCGTAATTTCCTTCCTTCTCGTCGCTCGAAACTATAACTTGAAATGGCCCGATAAGATGCTTGTCCAATCTAAAGCAGCTGCCGTATGACTACCGTTCTTTCCGGATTCAAATTCGAGAAATACAGTGTCGATTAAATTAACACCGTTGTTAGTTACATGTGTAAAGCTTCTGTTCTTTCATATTTTTTATAGCTTTTTTTATCTATAAAATGTATCTCCCTATATATAATCTATTTATATAATCTATTTATCTCTTTTATAAATTTTATATTTTAAAAAACCAGTCAAAAATCTTTACATAGTATATTTTAATCGGATATTATGAAGTAACTAAAAGATGAAAGACTCGAGAAGTTTTCAAGTTTACTGTTTATCGAAAGTTCGACCAGAGTTTTCTTTATAAGAAAAGACATTCCTCTATATATATATGTGTATAAAGAGAAAGAAAGAGAGAGGTTGAGGAATCGGCGTCATCGGCTTTAATGGCCATTCTCCTCTTATATACGCACAGATTACGGGAAAGGGCTTCCGAGGTCTCAAGATCCCGGGGCCTTACGACAGCGGCCGAGTCATCAGAAATATTTATCGGCATCGGATACGACCAGTATGCTCATTACGGCTTATGTTACTGCCAGAGAGAACAAGAAATTAGGTGCTAGATCGAGCCGCGTTGCTGTTGTCGACGCCGCGTCAATAATACTAAAAATTAAACCGTAAAAGGAATGATCGCACAAAAACGCGCGATAAATCGTATCCGAGAAAATTAGTAGAATCTAGAGATATACGACAATGGCATTCCTTTCTATCATTTTTATTCCGTGATCGAATGAATCCGCGATGATAATACTATCGTCCAATTTCTCGGTGCCAATGAAATTTATGAAGTAACATAAAATCCACTTATACATGTTAATTTCTCAAAGCGAGAGTTGGAATCCCTCCGCTATCCCTTTCGCGAAAACAAGGAAAACAAGGAAAAATGGAACGCAACGATATCGGGTTTACGTGAAAAAAAGATAAATAAATAAAAAGTTTAGATAACGATCATGCAAACGAGGAATCGGTGTATTCGCGAGAATGTATTCGCACGCCACACACGTTTCCTCATTTACATATGCAGGCGTCGTTACGCCTGCGCCGCGATTATTGCCATTAAATATGTAATATGCGTGAGCTACGATGACACAATTACACCTGGGAAATGATAACCGCGGTAACCGTGGCGATATCGATACGATTGATTCCGAAGGTATCGAAGGCGCGATGAAGCGGAATGGAATACAAGATAAAGCGCGGTGAAACGGGCAACTTTGCGAAGAAGCACCTGCTTCGTCCGACAGTCGATCATCCGGCTTTCTCGTTCGTAATTCCTCGTCCCGCTACAATGTTCAAAGGGCTTTA